TGTATAATATTGTACGAAATTTTACTTCCATTGGAACATGTTTAATTCTCGATTTTTTTTTTTTTTTGGATTTTTAATAGTTGGTTGTGTTGATTAATTTCAGAGAGCAGCTACTTTTATTTTATGATAAATCTTGAAGCTTTATATAAAACAATCCTCGTTCGATTTTATTGTTTCAGTGATTAATTCATAAAAAAACGACGTGAATAATTGTAAATTGGAATTCGTTTTTTTTTCCTCGATATCAGGTGGGACATCTGGGATAGGATAAGGTCTATCGAGACAAGAACACAAAAATAATATCTTTTGCTTAATAATACACAAATTTTATTTGAATCCGCATAAGCAGAGAAAATTATCATCATCATCATCATCACCATCATCATAATCATGATCATCGCCATTGTCATTTAATTATGTTCGATGAATAGAGCTCCTCTCATATTCGCGACAGTCATACGAGTACACATGTAATTATATAACGTATGTACAATAATAAGTTTTTATTTTTCATTATTCTTTCAGGCTGTTTTACCTCCTTTAAACTTCGTATTTTCTCCTTTTTTTTCTCTCTCTCTTTTTTTTTTTTTTTTCTTTTTTCTTTTTTCTCTTAGTCACCACCATTTATTCATCTTTCGTGTACATATCTCGTGTGTATTTATGTTCATCTCTCTCACTTTCATTCTTTCTTTCGTATTATAAATCTCATCGAACCATTTTCACGGTATCAATCACTTAATCGCCATCATCGCATTCATTGCATATACGCTCATTTTTCTTAATAATAACCTCGTAATTGTTAATGAATCATATTGATTATAGAAATTTTTTTCTTTCCATCTTTTATAGTTTTTTTTATAATTTTTTTTTTCTTATTTTTTTATTTTTTTATTTTTTTATTTTTTATTTTTTTTTCTTGTTCACATTTCTCCGAATCCATACACTCCACTTTTAACAGTTCCGAGGTAGTAATTGTCACTTTTTCCCTTCCCCTCGTTTAACAAGACGAGCGAAATCACGTGGATATTGTTGTTATTTGCCTTGATATATAAAACATCCGTTACATTTGTTTGCTTGTTATGCCAACAGGTGATAGTAGCCGTGCTGGTGGTATCGACGGCTGCGACTCCGCCACCTGGTTACGTGAGGAAGCCTGATAATGACGAGGTAAATATTTTTACGCATGTATTATATACGCAGTACAGCTCAAACGGGCGAAATGAAGAAAACACTGAGTTATTGATCAACTATACTTAAAAATCATCCAGTTGCGTTCAAGGGTTATTATGATAAAAAGTCTTTTGCTACGAGTACACCTAAAATTCACTCGATCTTTTTTTTCAATCGATCCCCTCCCCTACCAGTTGAGGCATGTTTGAGCGTCAAAAAATAATAATTCGTTATTTATCCATACTACCATTGAATTAAAAAATAAAAAGTTGCAGGATCAGTGCAGGTATGAGAAACGCGGCTTAAAGGCAGTGAACTTTCAATTTAACAGATTAATTGGATGCCGCTGAAAGGGAGGGAGGGCACTCGAGCTCAATAGTACTCATTGAATTCATCGAGACTCCATGGCAGCAAGTACTTATGATAATTCGATGGAGTAACTCTGAGCTTGTATGAAGAGTTGAAAATAATAAATAAATAAATAAAATAAAATAAAACGAGTATCAATCGCTAGAAAAACTTGAAGTTCGATGCCATATATTACGGAATAAGCTCATCTTGGCCAAGTTTTCGATTTTAATTGGTCACCCCCCTCGGTGAAATTAATTGCTACCCAGGAGCCGTTATGGTTTTCAAGCGTTGCACGTAATTTCATGTATCGAGCCGGGAACGTTGCTATGCCCCGGTCGAGTGACGATGGGGCATCCATGTGGAGTTGTGCGGGTTTCGCGTAAATTAAAAGCAATTTTGAAAATCCCGTACGGGACGAAACCTCGCGCGAAACTAATCGAGCGA